GCAGAGCGGGGAGCTGCCCACAATGCACTGCGCCGCCAGCATCAGCACCAGCCCTGACATCACCGCCCCACCGCCCGGCTCTTACATCACCGCCTTTTCTCTGACATCACATTCTACTCTGCTCCTCTCTCCGCTCCTAGGATTCTCTCAGACGATCCTGCTCCAGCTCTTAGATTCTGCCTTCTGGTCTCTTGCTACTCACTTGATTCGCCTTCCCTCTGAGCAGGACCGCCTCACTTCTTACCTGCCCCCATATGCCTCACCTGTCTCCACCGTATCACTCACCCTATTATCTTCCCCACTACCAGCATGTCCCTATCATTCCTTGCCCACATCCACCTCACTTGATTCCCCCACTCTAACCTCCATATGTTCCTATTACCTTCCTCTAAATTTATTTCCCCTCGCGGTACCATCCTCCCGTGTCCTCACTCCCCATTGTTCACTGCGCCACCCTTCATCTACAACTCATCTCACAGAGTATACATGACTTACCTCCTGGCCCAACCTGTCACTATCTTTCTTTGGCCGTTTCTCCCATCTGTTGACAAACACCATCCTTCTTACCGCCTACCAAATAAGATGACACTTCTTGCTATGACATTAACAATTCTTTACAACATGGGCCCATAGAAGCCATTATTATCCTCCTGACAAGGTTGCTCAACATTCTTTGAACGTGTTTTGTCCCTCTCAGGCCCTTCCTCCTATCCTTCCTGCTTTCAACAAATGCAGACTGAGCGGCTTCAGTCACAGCAACAATAATAGTAGCAGCAGCTATTTACTGCCATCAGACACTATCGCTATTCCAACTACACATAGTAACTCATTTAATCTAACAATGCTGGAAAGTGGCACTACCATCGGACCCATTTTATGGATGAGGAATCTAAGATACAGAGAGGCTGTGTCGTTTGCTTTGGTGACGCAGCCTGCGAATGGCAGGACTGGGACTCAACCCCTGGCTGCAGGACCCGTGCTTCCAGTCACCACACTGGGAGGAAAGAGCGAGTCTGCAAGAGGAGTCAGAGGAGGCTTCTCAATAGAGCTATATCTGACTGTAACTTGAAGGATCTGTAGGATTCCAACAGACAAGGCAGAGAGTGGGAGGATCTTCCAGGCTGAGAAAACAGCACGAGGGGACCTGGGGTGGCATCTGCAAGACCATCAAGGACCTGGCGCAGCATGCTGAGAAGACTGATGAGCCTGCGTTTTGGTTTTGAGAGTGTAATGGATAATGTGGTGGGCCATCCAGACCCTGGTACAAAATCTAGATCTTCAATTCCCCTGATGTGTGGGGGTGCTGAAGGCTGACTGCTCTCAGTGGACTCCCTCTCAGTGGATTGCCTTTGACCTACGGAGCTTCCTCACCTAAGACCATGTCCCCTTCCTGGTGCATCCCATATACAACTAATAACCAGCATGTAAGTATATAGGCCTGGTCAGCCCACCCTAACTTGGGACAGTGGTAAGGGAGCTGAGACAGCACTGTCATATTCAAAAGTCCTGTGCCAGCTGAGATTTTTTTTCTTGTAAAGATTTATTTATTTATGCATACAAGAACTGGGGGACAGGCCAGAGGTACAGGGGCAGTGAGAGAATTCATCAGAGACAGAGTGGGGAACAGAGCAGGTGGATCTACTGAAACACACTGCTGAGAGGAGCAGCAGTTCAGGAGATGTCTGCTGTGCCATGTGGGTCATCTCCGTCACTGGCACTTGAACTCATGCTGCAGTGGCTGTGGAGAGCTTCACAGTGCTGTGATTTAACCCATTGTGCCACCAGGGAGATTTCTTTTAAGATTGCATCAAAGGTGCCCTGTCCCTGCCCACTCCTGCTTTCTTCACTCCTCTACAGACCCTGATCCTCAGAGTACTTCCCAATAAGCCCACTATATTATGCTGTCTTGCAGTCAGCAACCAGGGGAATGTGACAGGAAAACAGTGAAAACATTTTAGCAGAGATAAGACATGGTCTGATCTGAGTACTGGGTTAGAACTCTAGGTG